TTTTCATAGTTACCAAAACGATTGTTCTCGTAACAAATTGCGAAATCAATTGTCTCGAGATTCGAAAGACACGTTTGTTTGGTTGCTGCTTATACATGCGGGGATTTTGATGAATTTTTATATAACAAAAAATAAGAATTTTATACAAGAGAATATATATAATAGAATATTATATACATATATAATATTAAAAACGACTTGATTCTAACAGGTTAGAGAATCTTTCACGAATTGATTCATTCACACATCTACGATTGATATTCTCCTAAAATCAAATTTGTTTCATTTAACGACAGTCCCCAGGATAGAAATTGATACAGTAGGTATGTCAGAGCTGTACAAATAAACAGGTAAACCGTTTTCTCTGTCGATTCAACCGACCGCTGAGAATCAATTATCCCAGATAATTTCCAGCGGTTTGTTCGGGTCTCTTAGGTAGAACGTGAATTAATCTCAACGATCCCCGTCGATTAATCAACCGATTCCACACAGACGAAGGAAGATAAATTGCTTCGCTTTTCAAGTGCTCGCTCTTCCCTTCTACTATCTCTCGCGTCGCCTTCTATTTTTCTGCGTTTTCTGCTGCGGTCGAAAAAAAAAAAAAAAAAAAAAAAGAAAGGAATATCGCGAAATTGAAAGAAGGAAACCACCGTGAAAAAAGAAAGAAGGAAATTCTCTCGACGAGAGAGGAAGTTCTTGCGATGGAAAGAGATCACGACGAAAAGAAATCTTTGAGAACTTCTTGCAGATGGGGAGCTTTTAGTTAAACGGAAAGGGAAAAAGAAGCCCCGGAGGATGAGGGGAGAAAAGTTCTTTAAAAACTTTATTTAAGAACAAAAACAAATTCTCACGCCTGTCCTTGAAGAAAGAGAAAACCGAGAGAAAATTCTCGAAGAAAAAGGAAAAGACGTCGAGAATTCTTCGGACACTTCAGGAGAGGAAAGTCTTAATGAACTGATCGTGTTTCTCTGGAAAACACCGCGCCTGCTCTTTTTCTTTTTATCTTCACTTTGACGGAGAAAGATTTGAAAACGAAATAAGAAAAAGAACCGGGGGATAGAAACACGGGTCGCGAGGAAGATCACGTGGAGAATTTTAATAAAAGAATTCGAGACGAAAATTAAGAACGATCCTCTGCCACCTCGCCTTCTTCTCGTAGAAAGAATCTCCGATAAGAAAAACCCCGCCGAGGGAAAGAGGAACAGGGAAATATACTTCGGGACTGCAATCGCAACTGCAAATCGCGTGGAAAATTCTAATAGAAAAATTCAAAGCGAAGATCTCCGTCTCCAAAAAGAAAAAGAAAGAAAAAAAAAAAAAGAAGAAATACCGCGCAGTAAACTCCAAAGTACAAATGGCGAGGATGATCGCGCGAATTTAAAGCAGCAGAAGAGAACGCCTACGTGTGAATTCCTCGCTCGTTTCCTTGATCCTAAATCGCTCTCTATAAAATATCGGCTGTCTTCGAGTCGAGAAGGATCAACGTCTAGCTATGTAGGTCGGCAACCGTACTTGTACGGATTATACTTCATACCTCTCGCCTTTGGAAGATGTTAACCCCCGCGGCCTGTACCATACCACGACCATACCACGTTCCTGTATTCTTGGAAAACGTTCGTCATTGTACCGCGCGATTTCATTTTCATGGCGCTCCGCCGGGACGACGTTTTTAATGTTCCACGCTGCAGCTTTTCCTTCCTTTCTCCTTCCATTTTTATCTCTCCACTTTATGCCACCTCTTATAGAGCGACTTTTACGGTTAAAGCACTCGTTGCCGCGCTGCATTATGGCGACAACTATACGATACATGGTGTTTCTCAGCTGCGTAATTTGGTTGAATTTATACTTTTGCCGAGGGTGGGTTCGCTTCTTCGCTTTCTTGAAGGGGGCGCATCGAGCGTTATTACTCTCGCAGAGAAAGAATTAGTTGTGTTTCTTACTTTTTACGAAGGAAGTAGTTTTACACATTCAATTCACGTTGTATTTTTATTTAGTACGAGGTTCGAGCAGGTTTTCATCTTCAATTGAAGCATTAAAATTTCTTTATCTACAGTTTCTTTTCCGTTCTATCTTTTATAATTGAATTAATCTTTATGCCTATGTATATTATAAATTATTAGAATGTTAGAAAGTACTTCAAGATTATTTATTTATTGTTTGATTGTTTGTCTGTTTATTCAAACTGTTAAAGAATTATCCTTCTATAGTACAAAAAGCATTACAGCTTCAAAATAATGTCTATAATATAAAAGATATTTGAGAATATTAAGCATCACAGCGCTTACGTAATGACGTTATAATTCATACTATCGGAGATTTCGTAATAGACTGACACTATAGCAGTCTTGTTTGGTTATCTGTGTACTTATCTAATATTCGATCATTTCACGATCATGCGAGACACGCGAACTTAATCTCGCGTGACCGATGAAAAGCACACACGAGATTAAGCTTTAACCCCTTACGCTGGAATGACATGCCACGCACGTCGAGGATTTTTTTGTCCCAAAATTGCAATATTTTCTCAGTTTTAAGTATATTTAAGTACAAGGACAAAGCAAATAATAAGTTTATTACTCCTTAATAATTTCTATCCAGTGATACACCGACGAGTTCAAACAAAAAAGCGACAAATTATTGTATACGGTCCGGTCACTCGTTATGGTCCGCAGTCAGTTATCAGCGCAAGTGGTTAACCTCTTTCTTTGTCCCAAATTACAACATTTTCTTCTCAGTTTTATGTATATTTAAATACAACCTAGGCAAAACAAATGATAAGTTTATTACTTCTTAATAATTTCTATCCAGTGATGTTATACCGACGAGTTCAAAAGAAACAGAAAACGACAAATTATTGTATACGGTTCGGTCACTCGTTATGGTCCGCGAACCAGCTGCCAGCGCAAGGGGTTAAGTTAGCCACTTTCCTAAGAAGAGACGCCTAATTTTCCACTTTCTCGATCCATCAATATAAAATCTGTTAAAGGTCATTTCCCTCTGTCATACTGCAGAGCCTAACATTCGGTTAAACTTGCACGATTCGTTCGCCGGAAATTCTTATTTCCCGCAAGTTTTCACCGTGACAGTGATATTCTGCAAAGTAGTTCACCGCGCCGGGAGTTTTATATTAGATTCCTAATGAAAAGCATTCACCTCGCTCTAATTTTTCTTATTCCCCTACTTCGTGAATTCCATTTTTATCACTTTGCTTCCAATTGCGAGGCAGAAGTTTCATCAAGTGAAATTAAACTTTTCATTCTATGCTAAATGCGTTTAATTGTGCAACGTTTGTTGGATTGCTATTGCTATCGAAGATATCAGAAGTCAAGTGTCAAAAGATCGTTAATAGTTAAAAGGAAAAGGATAAAGGAGATCATGTGACGAAAAATTATACGAAAACCGAATGTTAATTTATCTCGATCGATAACAATTAATTTTCAGATTGATCATAGCGCGTTGGATTAATTTAAGACATTCTTTATAAAATCAATATTTTATTGTATATTGTAACTTTCGGCAACGTTCTAGAACAATTTTATCGGCATTTTAATTTACTTTTCTCTCCCAAAAATATCTTCCTCAAATCCTCATGATACTCAATTGTTACGACTAAATTTATTAGTCTGAAAAAAAAAGTATTATTTCGGCAAACATCCACAAAAAAAAAAGAAAAATCAAATAAACAGTTTTAATAATGGAGGTAATAATTGTAACATGAAAGCAATAACGATTGAAAACACGAAACGGAAATAGACTCGCGTAGTAGTATGCAATGTAGCAAGTCAGACAAACAGACGGTTTCCGAGTGTACACACGGAAACTACGGCCAACTTGTCCCGAAAGAATACTTTCGGATGGAATCCAGGCCAGAAAAAAAGTTCCAATTACTCGTTGTTCGTTTTTCTCTCGCTTTTTGCACGCGACCGAACTGCGAATGCCACCTCTTTTCGTTCTTTCGTTTCTGACTGCCTTGTAACAAACTCCATAAGTTAATAAATAACAGCGTTAAACGTTAAAATAATTCTCCTTTTCCATTATAATACTTCGCATGATACAATTCTTATGCATCATTTCATTACATATTTGTTAAAAAGATAATATAAAACAAATTAATAAAAAAATAAATAATATAAAACAATTAATAAAAAAACAAATTAATATAAAAATAATTGTGTGTTTATATATATATATATATATATATATATAAATACACACAAATAAATAACATATATGTAAATACCAATCGTGATAATAATGGCGGCATCTCTATTTCAAGCACCAAATATAAAGGAGAGAAAGGAAAATTAATAATTACACGTGACGGTTGGCAAATTGTTATTTCGGAACACGTGAGTAAAGAGAAAGATTTCAAGAACCGAGTGGAATTGGAACGATTTAGCTTTGACAGATAGTTTGAACGTTTGAATAATTGCGCGCTTCTCGACCAGTCACGTGACAATTGTTTTAAACTACATTCGCAGACAACGTTTCATACTCCACTTCAAACGAATATTTTGTACAGAAGATATTTAATACCAGAGTTCCTGGATATGAATTTTCAATTAAAGATTTTAAAATTCACCGTCGGGAATTATTCGAAACGTTAACGCGTCAAGGTTCCGGCGTGTCAAACCTTTCAAACTCTCAAGGCAAGAATTCGAAGGACCTCCGTGCGACCGTAGTGTTCGAAATGCCGCGCAAGACGCAACGAGAAAGGAAACGAGGCGAAAGAAACATGATCTCGGATGTATCGTTAACGTTCGATACGCTTCAAAATAACGACAGGCTATAAATCGTTTCGCAATAGTGTATTCGCATAGAAGAGCTGCATTTAAAAACAAATATAAAAGATATATATATTTTTTATAACAAAATTTATTTTACATCGTCTATGTAAAAAAAAAAAAGATAAGATATTGAATTTTAAAATTGCCTTTTAACAAAGGCGGTAAAACGTGACATGTCATATTTTCTTCAATTTATAGGTTGTGTATACTTACAGTTTGGTAAGATTGACTGTGGATGGAAGTACAGTGACATCGAGAGGCTCCAGGATGGACAAGAATCCAGCCCCGCGGCAGGAGAACTCCCGTCCGTCGGCGGTGACATTGCAAGGTTCCAGGAGACCGGATCCACCGGAAGAACCTGGCTGCTCCTCGGCGGAGCAAATCCGGCAGAGGAACATCGCCAGTATGACAGCAGCAGTGGTGGTGCCGCGGCAGAACTGCGTGCACATGCCGGCCAGCTTCTACCAGACTTTCCTTCCTTCCTTCTGCCGGAATCGCCGCCGCGCCCAGGACACGTTTCACTTCACTGCATTATTATATTCATCATATCGAGACCAGGGTCCCGTTGGCGCACGAAGGACGAGCACAACAACACGACATACAGAGAAAACGAATACGCGCGACGCGTTGAAGAACTTGTGCTCAAGTTCGGTAAATGGGCAACACACGCGTACACTTGCCCCCCCCAACTGATATTCGAACGACCAAACCATACGACACGGCGTACGTTTACCGACTGACAACGCGACTGACTGTACGTGCGCTCTCCTGTTTGCAACACATCCCTCCCGCCATCGTAGTTCGCCGCCTCGAGCCAATCAACTTTCTCCATAACACGCCACTACCGATATGTACTTTTTTGTTGTAATAGAATCGCGACAATCGGCATATTACGATCCACCTCGTATATAGAAATTCGATCGATTTTTATTTCGCCTCTTTTAATTTTAGGGTAATTGAGTAACAGGCTAATTAGAAATGACTCCATGATTAACGTCGTGATGATTGAAAGGAAAAAGAAAGATTCTATGTTGCGCGATCTATCTTTTATGAAAAGTAATTAAGTTTTAAGGATTAATATAGTCTCAATGATCCATGCGATAACTTTCTATTTAAATTGACGTTTTCAAAGTGTGTACCATCGGTTGTATACGTTGCACGTATTTTTTGTTTTTATGATAAAATATTCAACAAATGAAATTTAAATTGTACATTTAAATAAAATAGGAAAGATGAGATATTTTAATGTACGAATATGAACAAATAAAAGTGTCATAAGTTTTGATTATAAACAGGATCATAATTCTTTTGGAATATTTTTTAATAATCTTCATGTACTTTTTATACATTACTTTTCCATTTTCTGCGTAACGATTTATTTTCTTCCTTGATTATTTATCAAAGGTTCATAAAAAATGTTTGATACGCCTTCTCTGTGCTACATATCAAGACATGTACACCGATAATAATCGATAATTTTGGTTAGTTTCTTTTCATGAATAACTAAAATCTCTAAATAATTTTCAAATAATACACATTATATATGTATACATATCTTTTCACAAAATCACAGACTTTAACTTCTAGACTTTAACTTTCTCTGTTATCCAAAACATAATACTGTCGAGTGATAATAGAAATTATATCGTACCTAAAAACAATTACAAAAAAAATAAGTTGATGTATGTATGAGTCATTGAGGTAGTGAGTACATTTCGATTTATTTTCGTAATAGCGAAAGTGTTAAAGTGTGAATAGTAACATCTATGTACTTCATTTACAAACGGAATCAATTATACAAAATATGCGGCCAATTGTGCCATCTTATCTTTTGGTGGACGTGGTTTGCCCCGACTACGACCTTTAGCATGGCCACGGCCACGAGTTGTAACCGGTTTCGAAGCAACTGCACGATGCTTTTCTACAAGAGCCATGAAAGCTGGTGTGCAAAAAACGCAACCAGTCATCTCTGTAGCTTCATTGGGGAGCTTGCTTTTTTCCTACGATTAAAAAATTGACCTTAATATGCCTTGAATATAAATGGTTTTTCCAATTATAACATGACGTTTTAGATTGATCACTTTACCTGTTTATATTCTACGGTAACTAATTGAGCTCCACACTCGCACACCTCCGTGTCGACTGTCACTTTGTGGGCATTTTCGAACAAATGAATAATGACGTCGCAACGATTACATCCAAGTTTCCATTTCGGCGCAGACGAAGGATCGAGAATAAGTATACCAGCATTGCACTCTAAACAGCTCGATAAACCATTAGAGTTCATGCCATGTGGACAAGTCGGGTGTGTGCAGGAATTACAACCACTCATTCCCTTTTTCATATCTCTGAAATTTACGATTTATACAACAGTTAATATTCAACCAATATAAAGTTGAATATTTCAATGTATATTAATTACCTAAACGGAGGATTATTGTAACAATATGGACAAAATGTGTAACTTTTTCCCCGTGCTCCGGTAGACCACGAGAGTAATTCAAAGTCATCCAATGGACACTTCAATTCTTTATAAATACGAATGTTCCCGTTTTGTGGAAGATTGTATGTTTCGTTGCAATGTGCGCAGTGCATCCTTGATGGTTTTGTTTGTATATATTTCATGTAACGTCGACATTTTCCACATCTGAATACAAAAAAGATATTATTTAGTAAAAGAAAAAAATAAATATTAAATAATCGCGTATATTTATTTATTTACCTCGAATGTGCTTTCCCTGACGCAGAAAGGGGAGAAAAAGAAACTTCAAACAACTGATCCATAGCTTCTATACTTTTTACAAAATAATGGAACTTTTGTTTGAAAATTTCTACTGTATGCTGTAACACTGCATGGAAGTCTGCTCGACCCAAAGCTATTAGATTTAATTGTTCCTCTACTGCAGACCTCATTGTAGGTGAAACTAGCTCAGGATCTATCTAATATAAATACAAATATTTTACTGCGAGTAATTCATTAATTGTTATACATGTCAAAAAATATATACCTTTTGATATCCATGAACTAACACAATTCCCAGAGAAGTAGGAACTAATTTCCTGCCAGTTGCTACGTTAACATAATTTCGCATGCATATGTTGTTTATATGTACTGGAATAGAAGCATCAGTCCCGATACCATGTTTTTCCATAAGAGATATTAATTCAGATTCTGTCAAATAATCTGGAGGTTGTGTATAACATTCGACTAACTTTATCTACAAAAATTATAAAAGATAATTTTAAATCGACTAAAATACTTTCACTCTTTATTTTATACATGCATTACCTCTTGTATATTGTATTTTTCACCCGGTACAAATCTGGGTAACGTATCATTACTTCCAAGTGCTTGCCATGTAAGTATACTAGTATATCCAGGATCTAATAAACTGTGACCGTTCGCCGTAAATACTTCCATTCCTATTTCAAATCTAACCGTGGTGCTCAAATATTTACAATCGTGAGCCAGCTATAAAATATAAAAATATCTAAACTCCTTGAAGGCAATAAAAATTCGTTTAAAATGTGCAATTAGTAACATATATTTACAGTGGCAATAAAGTGTCGAGTTATATAGTCATACAATCTCCATGTGTCTCCACCAAGTTCGTTTCGAGTAGCATGTTTCATTGGAGTAATAGGAGGATGATCTCCAACATTCAATCCTTTTTTTGGTCTATTAATTCCAGTCGCTAATATCTTACGAACTTGATCACCCCAATCGGGATTGTTTTGCTGTTGCTTCAACACTGCACTAAACATGAATTGATACATACACAAGAAAGATATAAAAAAATTTTGAAGTTACTTTTGGCTTACAGTAGATCGAAATTTTCTGGATATAATGTTGTTTCAGTTCGAGGATAACTTATGTATCCTTGAGTGTAGAGATGTTCTGCAATCTGCATAGCTTGATGGGGACCCATTCCTAAACCTGAACTTGCTACTCTCATCAATTCTACTGTATTTAAGGCTATAGGTCGCGATTTTGTTTTTTCGGTCGTTTCTACGCCTATAATTCTACAACATTTAATAGGACAAAAATTATTATATTATTTCAATATTAATCTAAAATATTCGTCATAAATAAATAAATACAAAAATCCGAGAACTTACGTTGTTTGATCATATTCTTTCACATGACTCAGAAACATATTCGCTATTTCCTTGTCAAAACATCGGACGCGGCTCCAACTCAAAATAATGTCTTGCCCATCGGAAGATTTAACTGTAACCTTCAATGCATTCGAGTTTATCTTCTTCCTCTTACTAAATCATAGAGGGATTATATTCTGACATATAAGAAGTATTTATATGTCAAGATGAGACATAACTTTTTGAATAAATTATACCTGTAGAACCCAATAAGGATCTGGCTTAAACGTTTGAATTTCATCGTGCCTTTGCACACAAAATCCTAATGTTGGTGTTTGGCAAGGGCCGTAGGAAATAAGAGACACATCTAGATCTCCATATTTACCCTAGGAAAGGCAAAAAAAAAAAGAATTGAATATCTGATATAAAAAAAATCTTTCTCTTTCATAATGATCCTACCTGAAAAAATTTTGTCTGAAATCTTGTGAAAGCACAACCAATTCGCAAATCTAACTCTTGTCTAGCATCAACACTCTTTGCTTCATTTTCATTTGGCTTTACTAGGTTTAATAATGCGGATTTTATGTCTTTCTCTGTAATAGCAGAAAATCTTGCCCTCCAAATATCCTACATAAATATAAAATTCATCAAACTCCATTAACACGATATAAACAACCAAATTATTGGTTGGTGAAACAATCCATAGAAAATCTACATTTGGATTTAATCTCCTATTCATTCCTTGTTGAACAGCATATATAACTTCAAAACAAATGTTTTCACCCTCTTTATCACAGTCCAACCACAATACTAAATAATCACAATGAGCACCTTCCTTAGCCAAAAAATAGGGGATTTTCAATCTAGGAACTGCTTCCTTCTTCTCAGTTGGGCACGAAAATAACTCTGCCTTGAACATAATAAAAATGATGTTATTCATATAATAAAATATGATAAAACAAAATGATAAACTTCATAGAATTCTTAATTTTTAACTTACAGGATCAACTTTGTCCCAGTTATTATACTTTCCAATGAAATCTAATGTCATGACATGACCAAAGACAGAGGTCATTTTAAAATTTACAGTTTCATATCTGAACTGACCTACCCATTCATGTACCGAACAAGATCCATTTAAACCTATAATTTTTTTTTAATTAGATAGAAGTGTACTATGAAACATAAGTATCTATAAATCATTACATCATAAATTTGATGATTTTTTAACTTAAAATATCATAAAATTACGTATATGCATTAAATTTTACAAAAATATAACCTACCTTTTCGCGACGTACACCGACCATTACTTAAAATATTGGCTAACGAAGCAGCCAATGATGGTTTTTCAGCCACCATTAAAGCCGTCTTCATTTTTACACGATATTTTATCTGTATATTTAGTTTTACAAGCAAATATCGTTAACTTCGGCTAAGAAACTCCGACATCATACATTCGAAGATGCTTACTGTAAGATACTGTACGCATGACATGTCACTCATTTCGAAATATTAACAAATTTATTAAATTACTTTTTATGTTAATTATTTACGAATATCCTTATGTCTTTTTTCTTTTTTAAAGTACAATAAAGATTCCGGTTCTTACACAACAATTAAGATGACAAGCTAAGCAGATGTAACATGTAATAGTACCATTGACTAACTAGATAGACCGGAAATCCAATGTTTTTTTGTGTCCCATGTTTAAGGAGCATCTAATCCCCGTATCGCAGACGAGGTATATGAGATATATTCATGTCAATGTTTAAATACCTCGTCTGTGCTTATGCGTAAAATACGCCTAAAAAGTAATTTGTTTTTCTTGTCAATATTTCAAACGCTGAGACAGGAAATCCTATTACATGTCCAGTATCAATTCTATCTTTAACCAATGATAGTACTCTTTTTCTATATGATGTAAACTGAAGTTATCGACATAAAAAGTTTAAATTTTTATCGACTTCATTAGGCATGTGGATCACCCCTAGCATAGGTGCCGGAACTAATTTATATTGTTATCCTTATCACTCGCTGTTGCCCTCTTCGTCTACCGCGCCTGTATGTCTGTCCTTGTCGCACGCTGTTGCTCTCCTTGTCTACCGCATAGATATGTCTGTCCTTGTCACACGTTATCGCTCTCCTTGTCTAATGACGCTAGACAAGGAAAGCAATAGTGAGCGACAAGGACAGACATATTTGCGAGGTAGACAAGGAGGTTAATAGCGTGTAACAAGGACTGACATATTCAAGGAGAGTGATAGTATGCGACAAGAACAACAATATAAATTAGTTCCACCATTTCATCGCTACACGACGCTAATATTTTAATGCCTCTAGCGGCTAGAACATTTAGTCTTTCCTTAGCGTACCAGTTCTAAAGACACGAATATTATAAGTGGATGCCACTTAGCTACGGATCAACTGCAATCTTTAGGTTGCAATGTGCGGATGGCAACGATACTTTTTAGGATGGGTGTCGTTTCTCGGCCCAAGCTAGTTCCTAATAAACCGAGCGTCTAAGGTTAGGCGTCACCGGCATCAGCCCCGTTGATGAATCTGGCGCCGACTCTGAAACGAAATACACTCCACCTTCTATATCCTTTATATCCTTATATTTTACGTAAAATCACCCGGTACAGAAAGTTCACCCTTAGTACCATTTACTCACGAATTGCAAATTGTATATTTTCAGTTATATATATCTGTATCTATGTACAAAAATGAAAAGTCCCATGCAAGAGCAAAGGAAGCAGTTCCTTCTCTCAGTAACCAACTAGGTTTTGTTTGTTCTGCGTGACACTCTCAACCAATAGGTATTCTTAAATTTACGAATGAATTGAAAATAACCAACCAGACCCACATTCTTTTCATGGAACTTCTCATCTCTGCACGACGTGTTGATGCAAAGATGAGAAGTATAAGTTATCGTTTCAAATCTTGAAATTGAGTTACAGTTGAATTCGGTAAAAATATATTTAATTTTATACAAAATATAAAATAATAATGTATCAAATTTTAATTTGTTTTGTTTTGAGGATTATGGGAGAAATGATTGTAATTATAGAAGATGAGAAACTAATTTTTTTTATAGAAAGAATCATTTATGATGATTCATTTGATTGCTATTTTATCTAAACGAGTTCAAATATGTTTCATTGCGTTTGTGGTATTAATTGATGAAGGAATTCAATTCTAACTTACTTTAATATATATTATATTACAACAATTAGTTTTATATATGTTATGTTTTACGAATTACCTTCTAAACCAATAAAACCTCTAGAAATATTTATTGGTTTTTCATAATCTTTAATTCTGAACTTTTTGACCAAGAACGATGTATCTTAATTTGAAAAAAGTTTAGTCGGTAATATTTAAAATTGTTATTGTTAAAACGCAAGGAGAAGAAATTAAAACTTTCCTTATTATAATTATCAAATAGGCATTTTAAGATCGGTCTCGTAGGTTACATTTTAATGTAAATACGCAGGCTGTTCATATTCATCATTACGAAAGGAAACGTGTACGTGTAAATTTTGTAGTGTATTATGGTTTACACAATGTATTACGATAACGTTATGTTATCTTTTTTACTTTAAGGAAACCTGAAATGTCAAAATCATCTACGATACACAATTACACTCGCAGTAGCGTTTGTAATCATTTTAGACGTGTGACTCATTCAGTCTGTCAGATTGAATTGTCGAGACGGATGTCTTAACCTATAAAAAATCCATTTTGAACGATAGTAGTCTTTTATAGTATTCTTTGTTCTTATCTTTTAGTATAGTCTTTGATATAATTAGGTAATTTTTGCATTATAAGTTCTATTGTGTTAATTAAATATCAATATATTTCGTTCCGATCTATACAATCGCCTTTTTCAAAGTTAATCATTCATCAGTTATTTTTATAATTAAGCGTTTTAACTTCTAAATAATAATTATTTTTAATTCCGTGCAATGGCAATCATAACCTCTTTTGAACTTTCATAATTGATATCAATTTTCATAGGTGAAGTTATAATAGTGTATCAGTCATGGAGTGGTTATTTGGAAAACGTATTACTCCTGAGGAGATGCTCAGAAAAAATCAAAGAGCTTTAAACAAAGCTATGCGAGACCTTGACAGAGAAAGAATGAGGATGGAGCAACAAGAGAAAAAGATTATTGCAGATATAAAGAAACTTGCTAAAGATGGACAAATGGTAATCTGGTTTAGTCCTATAATATTTATCTTTTATATCATTTAGGAATTTTCATTTCATTTCATTCGCTAGGATGCTGTGAAAATTATGGCTAAAGATCTTGTGAGAACTAGACGCTATGTGAAAAAGTTCATGTTGATGAAAGCAAATATACAAGCAGTTTCTTTAAAGATTCAAACATTACGTTCGCAAAATACCATGGCACAAGCAATGAAGGGAGTCACAAGAGCAATGCAAAACATGAACAAGTGAGAATTTGTCTTGTTCATTTAAAATTAAGATTGTAAAATATTTATTATTTACTATTTATGAAAATTATATGATTTCACAGGCAATTAAATCTTCCTCAAATACAGAAAATATTACAAGAATTCGAAAAACAGTCAGAAATAATGGATATGAAAGAAGAAATTATGAATGATGCCATTGATGATGCAATGGAAGATGAGGGTGATGAAGAGGAAAGGTATATGATAAAATTATTTATGTTTTTCTTGAAAAAAAAGTGGAAACTTGTTTATTGAATACTTCGAATACTTATTCTATCTATACAGCGATGCCATTGTGTCGCAAGTTTTGGATGAACTGGGTCTCCAATTGACAGATCAGTTGTCAGGTTTACCACAAGCATCTGGTTCATTAAATGTAGCAAGTTCCAAGCAACCAGTTGCAACTGCAACAGGGAATGATGAAGGTGGAAATTTGGCAGACGCGGACGCAGATCTGCAAGCTAGGCTTGAGAATTTACGGCGTGAATAAAAACATAAAATTACATAAGCGAAAAATGTATAAAAAATGTAAAAAAAGAATTGGTTTTGTAAGCATAATTAATTATGATTGCTTTACCAATCTAGTTGGAAATGTGAATACTTTATTCTAGCACTTATTATTGAATGCGTTCACTCAGATAATTGATTGTTATTTCTATCGCTTAAAACAATTATAAATTTGTGATACAGGAATGATAAAGAAACAGAGGTGTATATGCTAGATTATGTATTAATCTATATTGTTACTTTTTTATGAAAAAAAAGGGTAGAAAAATGATATAACTTTAAGATAATCTAAGAAATTTAGGTATCTTAAAGTTCCTGTGCATACTTGTTTCGCATAATTTTGTAAAATGGACAACTTATATTCAAAGTGCTGATCTATTATAACAAAATACTTACTTATTATATTTTAATAATTATATGTACATAGATTTTCTTCAGAAATTTATAGTTTACGTATATGTATATATACGCTTTTATTTTTTTAGAAAATATTGTACACTTAGAAGGATAAATAAGCAAAACATGTTAGCAGATTTTATATAAAGAAGAAAAGGTGAGAACTAAATCAAGCTGTGCATTAATATTCAAAATAAGCACAATGAATAAATTCGTTCACTGCTTTTATCAAGACTTGATTATTCAGTGCCTCATAATGTATTTACTTGATATTATGTAATAGTAAAAAGTATGCATTACTCACAAACATAATAACCATATTAATAAAATTTATTTATAAATTGTATTAACTACAACAACGGAATCTGTGTTATATATTAACAAATTGGTTGATAGAAATGCAGTGAAACAAGATTGTGCAATGATATTAGATATTAATATGCGGATAACACGCACATATACACGCATATAGTGTGTGTATATATATATATATATACTATATATGTATATATACATATAAATCGCTTAATAATAAAAATGTCATTAAGAATAATGAACTATAAGTAAAAGAAAAAGGTAATTGAAATGCATTTTTTAATACCTTGATATGAATAATTATACATATTATAACTTACCTCTAAAAATTATCGTTAAATCGATTTTAAATAAGAAAACAACCAATCTTAAATAATTCCAAACAATTTGACATTCAAACTGACATTCTAGAATTATAAATAATTAAAAAATCACAAAAACGTATTAATTTTTTTCAAAATCATTTGGAATAATATTTATTTCCAAAGGGTATCGTCATAGTCAATAATTCTATGAGAAATATGAAATATTATCTCTATTAAACAAAATGTACATAATAATGCGCATTAGATACTCATTTTAATGATTGTGAAATACAGATATAAAATAGAAGTCTGGTCTGGTTTCGAGCATGGCCTAATTACGCTCAAAATGAATATGAACGTTTAATTAATCGATTAAGTGCACTGAATCAATAATTCGGTATCGTTATGGAGAGTTCAAATAAATGTATTTATGTACTGAACCGCATATTACGATATTATTGAGAGACCAAAAAAAAAAAGAACAGGAAAAGAAAGAAAAAATTGTTTACGATATTATTAAAGTGGAAGAACAAGGACATCCAAGAATACGCGAACTTTTTAAATTACATGCAGCTTTCTTAATTGTTAAAGACAGTTGATCATTTTGGAAGATAAAATAGTTATAATAAACTAATAATTTTTTTTTTTTATCATTACTAATTTTCAATTACGAATCACTAAAAACCATTGATTTATCTTTTTTTCCTTCTTATTATCCAATGATTAAATTGGTTGTAATTGAAAAAATAGAATTCGCGTGTTCTTTTATAATTCCTTCATTCTCCGAATGGTAAACCCTATAGAAATATGTAGTTTATGATGTAGTTTACAAAACTGTGATGGAACCTTCTGTCAATCACATGTATATATATTGTCAATATCTTTTTAAACATCTCTTGGGGTACCGCCCAAACATAACGTACCTCAAGCTAAAATTGTAATTACCGAAGAAATGTTTTGTAGCGCCCCCGTTATGTTCACTTAGAATTAAACGCTTTCAAAAATTCGCGCCCATCATTAATACTTCGATAGTCATATGAAGTATTGTAATATATTAGATAATAGGTGTTTAATAGTAGATGATAGTAAGTATACTAAAAGAAAATAAAACATATGCAAGTTCGTAATATCGGAGATGGATCTGTTTCGCTTATATATATATAGTAGTTGAATGTCATATGAGCTTAAAATGCTTGTTGGTTAAACATCAGTAACTTTTGGCGGGAAATTTCCTCAAGCAACATTACATTGAATCATGCGGGAGGATGTAATCGAAAAATCATTTCAAGTTCACTGTGATTATATTCGTTAACGTTCGTTGAAAAATTCATGTAACGAGGATATTACCCTGATATTCGTGCAGATAAACGGAAATGGTCAGGGGGGCAGACGAATTTTAGTCTGCTTCGAGTACGTTTACTAACTGTGATTCTTTGATGGTACGCAATCACGGGTTCGTCGTAAGCACCATTTCTATATCGTAATCGTTTTCATCGAATACGATTTTTTTTTATATGCGTGTTAATCAGGATCAATCTGAAAAATTTTAAACAGAACAAAGAGATGCAAGAAACGAACTTCTTGTCTTATAACTTAATATAACAGATTTGTTCTACGTTCGTCTGATAATCGAAAATTTAAAAAGAAAAAATTAAAGTCGGAAAGAAAATTATACACAAATAAAAAAAAAAAGGAAAAAAAAATTTGTTCCCAACGTAGCAAAGACAAATTTTCAGACTGATCCGTAGTATTTATTTACTACGGAATAACGCGCCAGATGCTACGATATGCAATAGAAAGTCGTATGCAACACTGAACCTCATGTTATTATCGTAATAATTATACACTTCTCGTTGGATGGAAGGGGAATAAATATGCGCGAAGAACAATTCACTTTTTTTTCCTTTTAAATATTCACTATATAGGTATGGGATTATTAGACCTTATATACGGTGTGTAATCTGTGCATTATGTACGTTTCTCTTTCTTTGTACGCAATGTCTTTTACGTGTACGTACTTGTACGCATGTATGTTACGATATACATGCACATAACATATATACACATTTATAAGCTATGTCGAACACAGCCTTCTCTAGATACGGCAATAAGATCTGACAGTTTTTTTTGTTTTCGTATTCTTTTTTTCGTTTGTTCCTTAAATCTGTATTAAAATTATGAATCGGAAAAACTGAAGTCATCTTTTATTTATTATATGTACATAGTAGTAACCACGTGCGAATATATCGATACTCTTGGTTCAATTGAGTCGAATTAATTCCCATTGTGTTCGATATAATTCCAGCACGGTAATGATATTGGAGGAAGACTATATATATATAAAAATATTAAACTTAAAGATCGTAGTTAATGAAGATGTTAATTTCTATTCTTCTCCGACGAGTGAGAAACAATAATTCGCACATGCTTGATCTATAATAACTATTATAGAACTGCGGATGTTTATGCGCTTGTAGGAAGTTTGAAGGTGCAAAAATTAATGGATGGAACAAAATATGAATTTGCATAAGCATCCGTAGTCCAGCTATTGATATTCATTTTGACAATCTTACTCCCGCGTGCTTCATCTCTTCAAGATCCATTTTTTTTTTTTTTTTGTACATCACCTTTTTTAACATGCGTTATACGTAATATTAATTAAGAAACTCACGAGTAAAGTATTGTGTATATATCTACTTTATGGACGAGAACAAAAATTGATCGTGGACGTTCGTGACAACGTAGATGAGCAACGATTAGGCTTTCGATTAAAATACGCTGATCACGTAGGATTCCCACCTTATCGATTGTGCACTCATTGGTTGTGTTCCACAATGGCACTAGTGTCGCCAAATGATGCACCCCCTGGAATAACCTTCTTTTTTGTACGCTTTTTCTCGTTTAAATATCGCGTGAGACTCTGAGAATAAATTTCAGTTATAGTATAGCTAATGAAAGGCAATTATATGAACTTTTGTACAGGAAACAATCAAAGTAAATCTATGAGATGGCTTCCTAAAAGTCATTGTTTAACATTTAAAAACAGCCCGTTTCGAGATTCATTAAATTGTAATAAGATTGCCGATATATATATATATACGTATGTATGTATACATGTATTTATGTAAGTATGTATGTATTGATTTTTGTATTAGATATTTACAAAAAAAGTGTAGCAAAGTATGCTCGTCATAACATATGAAGTATAATATCACTGGATTCGTTAAACTTTACTTTTTCTTTTATCAGAGAATTGTTTAATTCTTTGTATATGCGCGATCGTACGTTACTACTATGATATCTACGGTATTTTAAACGTTTTTGTAAATTGGTTTGACATTAAGTCAACAATTTCACGAACTACGTGTATATTTATATTTCTTTTTTTGCTGTATTTTTCTTTTGCTGTTCGTTTTAACTTGTATGATCTTTGTAGTCAGCACTGTCTTTTTTTCTTTTTTCTTTTTTAAATATACGTATATGTGAAATATACAGTCCGGTTGTATCATAGTGTTTGGGCCGAGATGTTTTAATCCCATTGTTTCTTCCTTTGTACATTAATTATTCCGTGCCTATGGATGAACCTCCGCGACATTTTCCCTAAAAATCACGATCTTTTAGCTTTTAAAAACCGTGTCTCGCCTTGAGTATCCTTGAAAAAGCAAGGAATTTAAGAGAATTGGAATTTTACTAAGTTTCCTAAATAAAGAATTAACGGTTATTCTGCTGTCTCGTGATATATTCTTATCGAATGGTCCGATAGTTATTGCGGTATTACAAATGCTTCCTCAGAATTTCGAGCTATATCTTGTTTTTATTTTTTTTTTATTTTTTGAAATCCGAGAAACTCGAAATCATCATGAAGTCGTCTGTTCGTTGAACACGCGCGATTACACTTCGGTTTGCGATTCCGATAACAAACGTATTCTATATTTTTGGTCCTTTTTTTTGTATTAACTTTTTTTTTTTTTTGCGTCCTTTGTCGGTAAGGTAGATCTTCTTTCACTGAGATTCTATCTCAATGAGCATTTACATTGTGAAACTTTCTAATTAGCATCTCGTTCGCGGTGGATTCTCTTAACCTTATCGAAAATTCAGAAACTTTCTTGATATCGAACTGTAGTCAACCGGAACTGTTTCGCGGAGAATGTGTTTCTCCTTTAATTTCACTTTCCAGTGTGTTCGTCCAATTTGCTCTCTTTTGTACACTTACAAACCGCATCTCTTCTGTATGTTCTGTTAATCGTTTAAGTAGATATTCTGTTTGAAGTAATTGGAGCAACCCTATCCATAAGAGGATCTCGAGTCAGGCTTCTACATATAGGATGTTCCACTTTTACTATGAATGCGTTCTGAATATCTACATCTCGAAATATTTAAAATATGTACAGTTTTACAGTTTTCAAATATCTCAAATATTAGAAATATTAACTACCTAACCTAACCTGAAGTTACACTTACGACAGAGGAATTTCAAAGAATCCACGAGAACAGTCTTTCAAGCGTAATCAGATTCTTACAACGCGTTAAAAAGTAAGATAAACGCCGACAATGAAATTATAATATAATTTACAACAATAATCGAAGATTTTCACTAAAGGTCCAATAGCTTTCTAAGCATCAAAGTGGATGACTCTCCAATAACTTTAAGCAGCGTATCTTCCTGTTTCGTCAGCTGAACTTCCTCGTTGGTAATAGCGCAATAACATCCGTTACTTTGGAATAGCAGTTCCTATACAATTTATTATCCTAAACGCTCGGTTCTCACAATACAGGCTTGTCGCTATCTACGAGACACGCGTGGCAAATGAACGTCATTGAAGCATCATTTTTTTCTTTTTTTATGCCTGGAAGTGATCTACGCTTGTCGAACAAGAATGGTCATATTATTTATCGTAAAAAGAAAGTCTCTCGTGATTGTTGCAAATGTCATATATATATATCTTTTTTTTCTTTCTTTTCTCGTTTATTCTCAAATTAGAAACGACGTGTGAGAATTACTATCGTGATAGAGCAATGGCATTTCGTTTGTCGTAATCTTACTAGAACGCGATTATTCATTCATTATATTCTATTATTAAATGTTCCGTTACGAAGGTATTTTTTTTTTTTTATGTCGTTCCTCGAGGAAAAAAGAACAGCCGAACTATGATGTAAAGGGATGAAATTCAACTGAAAGACTCCTTGGTAATGTTAAACGTTTGAAAGAGTGAGGTGAACTGAATGACTACACTAAGGAACAGTTCTTGGTATGTCCAAGGTCAGACTGTTCTCCCTACTGCAGTACTTGCTTCACCTTTCTCAATTAGAAATACACAGTATATACATTGAAATAATAATAAATAAAAATTAATTTTAGGAGCAAAGAATGCTGAACAATAGGCAGAAGAGTGAACATACCAGAAACGCCTGTAATTATAATCGTACTGTACAGAACAGATATAATGCAATGGAAAACATTGTGCCCGTTTTTTTTTTTTCACGGGAGAATGATCACGGGTGGGCGACGAATTGAACGATGAAAAGATTTAGGAACCACAGATCTAACGGTTAAACTAAAGCTACGCATTATCGCGTAATCGATCCGAGACCAAAATGGAAATCTTTTCTTCCACTGATGAAACAACGACCTAACAAAGTGATCAAGTAAAGAAGAAACGTTTGGTCAAGCACTTAGACGAATGATACAAATTACTATGCTACTAGTGTTGCTTATCTGATGAATTATTTCTTGTTTACCGATCTGTGCGCTTACGTCGGAAACGTATCTTCTTTTTTTTTTCTTTTTTTATTTTACATATTTACATCTGGTTCCTCTTCTTTCGGTTTCATCTCTTATCCCGTGCCAACCTCTTATGTTTCTGGCAGATAGCTAATGATATCGTTCCCTTCAATTTAAATCGATAGGAAACTAAACACTGTGCTTGATCTAAACGTAATACCAGAAGTGATTTCTCTGTTTCTCTCAGTCAAAATCCAATCTCCTCATAGTTCTAACTTCTTCATACTTCTAACGTCTCATAGTTCTTCTCATAGTTTAAAAATTTTTACATCCACTTGTTTGGACTCGACTCATAGTACTCGGCTACTCACTTTCGACCTGAACAAATAAATAAGAAAAGCGATAATAAATTCCTATAAGTACAGTGTTTTCATTAGCTACCAACCGTACCTGCGCTTGGTTTTAATAACAAAGCAATTAGCCTACTCTTTGTCGTAACGTCGTGTGTGCCCAACATAAACCGAATTGAGAATCGAGAAGCGTTTCACGAGGTTTAGCGAGCTTCACGAACTGATTATCCTTGCCCGATAAGCGATCTAACCGGCGGCGTGGCGACGCACGAGGCGCGACGCTCCGCGCGCGAACGGGACAGGGGCGTCCGCCTCGAGTCATATAGTCCAGACCTGCACCTTCTCCGCGACGATGCACCAGCTCGCGTGATCGTAGTAAGACGAGATAATGTGCAAGTTCTCCACGTATTTGTTGATCAGTTGGTCCAGCTCGCCCTCCCTGAACACGTGATAGTACTGATGATAAGTGATGGCACCGCCCCCGCGATCGGACGGCAGAGATTCTTGGGACGATGATCCAGTCAGGGAGTCGTTGCTACCTGTCGTGGTTACCAGACAATCGGTGCTGCGTTTGCTATTGTCTGGATACCTCGGTGGCGTCTCCTCCGAGGCGGATCTCCTTTGCAATTGGAGCCTTCGTTTCTCAGCGTACGACTTAGGATACTCGTTGGTGTTCGACAGCAGCGACATCATGCTGCTGCACAATCTCCCGGTGGAGTCTGCACGACTTCCGTCGCTGAAGCTGATGGTATTATCGATGGATTCGCCAATGTCGCTGGACCCTATAGAGTTGGCGCTTCTTAGATAGGATTTCTCAGAGGACTGCTTGTCCAAGGAGGATGTTTCTTTCTCGTTCATGAACTCCCCGGTATTAGAGACCATCACAAAATCCATTATATCGTCCGAGGTGCTTCTATGCATCTCTTCGTTGAAGCCGTTGTTAGTGTTGCTCAACCAGGCGATCGTGTTTGATAAATCGTTGTATTTGGACTTGTTGGGTATCGACGATGAAACGTCGTAAGGGGGAAGGGATTCGACGTCCAAGTCTTTCTTCGACAGGAATGGTTTGTCTAAAATGTTCTGGTCGTTCTTGTTCTCGTCCAGCCCGTGCATCAAGTTCTCACTGAGTTTCTCGGTGAAGTCTATCAGATGTTTGCGGCATTCTTCGTTCCACGTGTCCTCAACTTCCGGTAATTGGATATCCGACTTCGTTTTAACTTTCGTGTCGCTGCCAGCTGAACTCTCGATGCTGTCCTGTTGTGCTACTTGCGTCGGATACGGTTTAGTGTGCGTTTTCGTGATGGCCGTCTCGACAGCGTCCTCCAGGGAACTGGCGACGTTAGCCGCAGCCTCCAGAAGTCTAGAAGACTGAGACGAGCTACTGTCCCCCGTTGTCTTCGTCTCGTCTTCCTTGGAATCAGCTACGTACCCTGACGATTCGTCAGCTGTCACGTCGCTAGGATCGGACACGTTTTCAGCCGAGCTGTCCAATACCTCGGACTCGGTGCACTCGGACTTAGTGTTATCCTTCTTAGCCATGTATCTCTCGTCAGAGATCACGCTGATCACAGAACCCACGGAATCCGGCGAGGACACTCCGCTGGAATCGCTATCGAGGTCGTCAGTCTCCGGATTGAACAGCTCCAGCGAGAGCAACCGTGGTAGTACCTTGGTAACGGCCTCCAAACGACCACTGGCCGTTGTCGAAGCTCTTCTGACTAGAGGGAACGACGGTTTGGTTCTGGTTGCGAAGCCAGGCTTCTGTTTCAACAGCTCCTTGATCTGATTCAGTCTAACCTTACGACTCTCTTCCTCCTTAGTGATTTCGAAGGTGCCCTTCTCCTGCAACGATACATCCGGACTGTCGTCCACAGGTAAGAGCGGGGTGGTGTCCTTGATAGTTTTCGGTTCTTCAACCTCCAGACTCTCAGTCATAGATCTGTAAGCGCGTATAGTCTGCAAGCTGGGCTTCTTCCCCTCCAAGAAATTATTCCTTCCGCAAATCTCGCTCTCGATATTTTTTTTATTACCCTGCGAGTCCTCGTTGGTCGGCGGATGGCAGCCGTTGTTCAAAACCTCTGTCCTCTTCGCGTTAACGGTATTGTCTCCAGATGCTTGTTGCTGGCTGGCGACAGCGTTTGAACCAAAGAACGGCCTGGTAAATACAGGATTCAAAGCACATGGGGAGAGGCCTGGTGGACTAGGTGGTGGTAGAGATTTGCTGGTAGCTGGGAACTGTTTGAGCAACGGGGATATGGAAATGATCTTCATTCTCGAGTTAGTGTCAGGCGGATGTTTGACGCGCGGCGAAGGTGGCGCTGAGATACTTCCCAGCTGATGGCCACCGGAGGCTGGGATAACAGCCTCTGTCGTTGGCTGTGCCTCCTGCTTTGGCACGAAAATCACGGATGCGAAACTGTCCTCGGAGTCGACGCTCGTGTCGCTTTGCAAACTGCTGTCCTTCGACGAGTCCGAGCCATCCTCGCGAGACAAACGTCTTTCGATCACCTCTGTCTCTCGTTTCGGCGTAGTGGCAGCCTGAACCTTCGAATCATTGCCATTTGTCTTCGATGCTTCGTCGATCGACCCGTTAGCCGTATTCGCGTCGTTCTCGCTGGACTTCCATCCCTGTAAGATCTTCACGAATCCGTTTTTGATCGATATGCCGGACACCTCGATATTCGTCGTGGATTGTTTAATCTTGTTCGTAAGGCCACTTTTCAACAGTTGAAATCTCTTTGTCGCGTTTACGGAATAGAGGGAGTCTCTGAGGGATTCGAAGGTTTTCCCCTTGCAGATGATATCCTCGTTCAGGGACGCCTGTTTCATTATGTTCCTTCGCACCCTTTCTTTCTCTTCTAACCTGTCGGTAGACATCAGCTCCTCGTTCATCGAGCTCTGTTTCAAGATGCTTCCCCGTTTCAAGTAGTGACCAGGTGTTACCTGGAACGCCAAACAGAACCAAAATATTAACATTTAATTGAAATGACTCTTTATCAGATCAGATATCAGCGAAAGCCTCAAAACAATGATAAGAACCTGAAAGTCTGGAATGTCCTTAAATAGTTCTTGAATGGCAGTGTTGTCAGGATGTTCCAAACCGGTGTCGTCCACGAGGTGAGTCTTCTGCTTGACCAGCCGTGGCTTCGAGCCGCTCATCGACGACGACGTCCTCGATTCACCGTCCAGATTCAATTCGGACGTCAGCATGGAGCACAGGCCGGGGATACTGGATCTAGATCGCACGAGGTCCAGCCGCTGGATCTCCAGAATATCGCCCAGGCTCTTTGACTTGATACTGAGTGAGTCCGATTGCTTGTTCAACGTCACGTTGACATTCTCCACGCGGCGTAACTCGATAGGCAGCTCGTCCACGTCCGGCGGTTCCTCTTGCTCGTAGTCCTTCCGATTCTTCCCACTGCCGCTCTGCCAACTGTCGAGGAACCAAGGTCGATTCCCAGATCCACGTCTGCTTCCTGCTAATTTCTGAAGAAAAACAAATTTTATTATTATTTATATATTATTATTATTATTTATATTATTATTATTATTATTATTATTATTTATATATGGATTATTATTATTTATATATGGATTATTTTCCATCAGCATCGCCAAAGTAGACGCATGAAATACAGTAAAAATATAAAATATATTATATATATATATATATTTATATAAAAAATATAAAATTATATATATTTATATATATATTTACTATATATTATAATTATATATTTTATAAATAACAAAAATATAATAGTATAGGAATTATGTACGTCTTCATTCGTCTCATCTATAACTTTCCTTCAATGACTGTTTTCATTGTAGTTATTGTCTAACATACATACATATGTATATCTGATACAAAACAGTTTCTTAAAGGAAACAAGATACAAAGATCTTCTCAGTGAAGTCAAGAAAGCAGCTGCGTTGAAATTTCATTTCGACGATTGTCGAACATTCACGGAGGGAAACGACAAGAGGGGGAGGGAGCGAAATTACTCATACAGCCCCCGTTGACAAACGATCCTCGCTGCACACTTTGCAGCATTCCAATTGCGTCTGCAAGCAGTTACCCTACTTTTTCGGCGCGGAGCATCGTTACGGTCGGGGCGCGGAATCGATAAGGGCTGCCAACAATTTAGCCACGTTATTGCTAGAAATTATCGTGTCGCAGGGAAAAGTACAGGCGAGAAGTTTCGAGAAAGAAGAAAATGAACGAGGAGAGAGAGAGAGAGAGATGGGGAGAAAATGAGAGGCAATTTTGAGCGTTGGCACGCAATTGCAATAGACGCGTGACAATTGAGAAATATTCAAGAAAATGGGCTTCGTATTCGATGCTCGAGTCTCGATTTTCTTTCGTTTGTTTTATTCATTTATTTGTAATTAAGCGTTTAGGGTCACGTCCCAGTCCTCGAGTTATTAATGGCTATAATAGCTATATCTTTCAAAAATTCTAAGATATAAATTTCTCCCCCTTTCTTCTTTTTGCTGCATTTTGAGTGGATTTGGCTTGTAAGGTTTTGCTGTTTCCTTTTATCTTCGTATTTGGGACAGGCTGTTAATGCTGTTGTAAATATCAGTCATAGAGGTGAACGCGACTTCTGGTGGGAGTCGGGCCTAGACACGAGTCATGAATTATAATAAAACGTTATCGACAATGTAGAGTCATCATTATTACAAACACAAATGTGTGTTCAATGGAGTTGGGTAGATTGCACGTGATTTGGTTCTGTGTTTGTCATTAGATTTCGTTTCGTTTCTTTTCTTTTCGTTAGCCAACAATCCAGTCGTGATATCAGTGGACAGTTGGATCACTTTACCTGCAACGCGCGGCGGAAAAAACTGTAGCAGGTCTCATTCGGGCTCGACAGGCTGCTGGTTGACGGCGATGGACTGAATATCGGGTCGATCCAATAGCTCTTGCTTTTGCATTTTCGTTGGCTGTTCCTGAAGAGGGAATCCCATTAGAGGTAATTATCGGTGCCGTAACGTCCGCTTTGCAAAGCGGAAGTAGAAAGGCGATGGAGAGGCAATTCTCGAAAATTACCGATTCAGTGATAGCAACACTCTCGCGAACGTTTCTCCCATTTTAGATATCATACTAGGCTGAATAATCTTTTCTGTATTGTTGGAGTGATTAGACAGTTACCTTTTGGAAGATGACAGGAATTTTTGAGCGTTCTGATTGCAGTGTAGGTCGGTGGTGTGCGGCACGCTGGAACGTTTCGATCTGTTTGACACCGAGTTTATGCAATACGCTTTGGGCCACGGTACCAACACGTCTTGAGACTCGAACTGAAAGAGGAATGAAATTTTTTTTTATTCATAAATAAATGAACAAAGAGCAGCGCCTTTTACCTATTTTCAACATCTATTTATCTACACGTATATTTATTCTTATATTATATTTTTAAGAAGTTATTATTTGAGGTGACCAGAATAAAATTCACACGGGGTGAAATCTCACCCTTCGTCGGCCTTTCAAAGGTTAAATTTATTCCGAAACTTCGAACAAAATACGCGCTGCGAAAAATACGCGAAATATTTTTTTTTTAAACAACTATCCACCACCTGACAAACAAAAAGCTCGAGCCATCGGGAACAGAATAGAAACAAACGAAAATAGATTCGAACAATTTACCTTGACTATGTACATTGAAATAATCATATCGATTGACCGTCGTGCCGTGCGTGGGTGTATTTCATAGGCATGTTCGAATACCGTTTCGAAATCAATCGTATCGGGTAACGACATTTTTTTAAAACGATTCGAATAGACTGTATGTCTATATCTGCGAATCCTTGGAATAGCTCGTAATCCAAAGCTTGAAACGTTTTTAAACACTTTACATACTGCACATAGTTGTCGTACAATTGGAAGTTGTTGCCTTTGCTAACACGCTTTCTATTCGAAACACACACAGGGACAAAAGATAAGATAAATCGAAACGAATTGGAAAATAATATTTATATTGTTAATAACAATATTTGTTTATTAATAATAATTGATAATACCGAAATAATAATAATAATAATTACAATTACAATAACAATAACAATAATTATAATAATAATAAAATACTGAAATTCATTTGATAATATCGAAATAATAATAATAATAGATAATATCAAATAAGGGTTTCTAATAATCCTTGAACGTTTGACTTTTTTTCTATAATCCTTAAACGTTTGATTTTTTTTTTTTTCTTTTTCATATGTATTTCATTCACCTTTCTATGCTTTTGTTCCATAGCCCATACTGATATGACCAGCCGACCGCCAATCCGCAATACTCGTGCAAGTTCTTTCAACGCGTGGACCCGCCTCTCTGTTGTGGCAAAGTGGTGCACCACGGCGATGGAGAGCACCGCGTCGAAACTCTCATCTCGAAACGGCAGGGCTAGATTATCGCAGATCAATACCTGCAATGTGAACGACGAGCCCCCGTGAGACATTTACTAATAAATAATTTTCATTTAAAGTTCACAAATTGCTGGATTTTGAAGAACTTGTGAATTTTGGAAAATTTGGAGATGCGAAAATGCGCGCAATAGTACTTATAAAATACTAGAATATATGCAAAGTCATTTTAAAGTCGCTTATTATAATATATGATACTATAATATTATAATATATAGTACTAATATATAATACTATAATAATACTATAATAATATAATATGTAGTACTAATATATAATACCATATTAGCACTATAATATTATAATATAGTACTAATATATAATACCATATTAGTACTATAATATTATAATATAGTACTAATATATAATACCATACTAGTATTATAATATTATATATAATACTATATTAGTACTATAATATTATATATAATACCATATTAGTACTATAATATTATAATATATAATATTAATATACAATACCATAATATTGTAATATATAATACTAATATAGGTTCCGTTCCGTCAATTACAGAAATATAAACTCATGTAAATATTATAATATATGATACTATAATATTATAATATATAGTACTAATATATAACATTATAATATTATAATATATAGTACTAATATATAATACTATATAATACTATAATAATATAATATATAGTACTAATATATAATACCATATTAGCACTATAATATTATAATATAGTAATAATATATAATACCATATTAGTATTATAATATTATAATATAGTACTAATATATAATACCATACTAGTACTATAATATTATATATAATACTATATTAGTACTATAATATTATATATAATACCATATTAGTACTATAATATTATAATATATAATATTTATATACTATACTATAATATTATAATATATAATACTAATATAGGTTCCGTTCCGTCAATTACAGAAATATAAACTCATGTAAATATTATAATATATGATACTATAATATTATAATATATAGTACTAACATATAACATTATAATATTATAATATATAGTACTAATATATAATACTATATAATACTATAATAATATAATATATAATACCATATTAGCACTATAATATTATAATATAGTACTAATATATAATACCATATTAGTACTATAATATTATAATATGGTACTAATATATAATATCATACTAGTACTATAATATTATATATAATACTATATTAGTACTATAATATTATATATAATAGCATATTAGTACTATAATATTATATATAATACCATATTAGTACTATAATATTATAATATATAATATTTATATACTATACTATAATATTATAATATATAATACTAATATAGGTTCCGTTCCGTCAATTACAGAAATATAAACTCATGTAAATGTACATACAAATACCTACGATATTAATCTCTGCCAATGTCACTCGTTTTCAACCTCATTATATACAATTACAATTAATTTTCCATGAGAAAAGCGATTCCGGATACAATTAATACCGCCCGTTATGATTAGACTCTGAGAAACAGGATACGGATATAAGAGTACGTTTCCGGTACCAGGGCTGCTGGTCAATTTGTGTACGTTGTACACCTGATACTCGCATTTTCTAAAATGATATACTCACCTCATTTTCTTTCTCACGCGCGATATCCGTGAAACGTTTGCACCGGTCCACTCCCACTTTAAAGATGCTGTGATTAACGCTCAGGTACTTCCCGTTGCCACAACCTGAGCACAAGAATGATAGAGATTAGCTAATAATCCCCGACAAACTTCTCTGAATAAACATGTTCATTATATAAAGATCTGGATACTTTGAAATATTCTACTGCGAGAAACAGTCTTGTGCAGAAATGCAATTTACGTTTCTGCTGATTTTCCTTTGAATAATCGGATAACGTTTACGTAGAAAAATTGCCCAAAGTTGAACACAGCTACAACAATTGAAAATTTCGTACAAATTTTTCTCTTAAAAATCATCAATAGCCTTCTCTTCTCAGAAATTCTAAAATCAGAGCGGCATTGGATCAAATTAGTGACGATTCACGAATGAAATGAAGAATTTTTTGCCGCGCAATCCCGATCAGCTGGTCGGCCAATAGGAAACAAGAAAACCGGAAAACCAATGACTAATTCCACGAGCGAAACCGGTAGTGCATCTGTCGGAACGATGCGTGAAATGTGGATCAGAGTTGGGTAGGCACGGTGTGTATGAAAACCGGCTTCAAAGTTCGCCGAGTTCGATGAGTTTGTGTAATAATCCAAGGAGAATGTATCCCACGGTATTTCAGAAGCGAGTGCGCGACAGTGTTCGCTCACTTATACACGTTACGTGTATATACGTGATTTGCGCCGCGCCGCGGATTCGCGTGAATACATCCGCACGGAGGTCAATTGATCATGTGAAAGCGCAAGTAGTCGGAGTTGAGAGGCGATGAAAAAGCGGGTAGAGGAAGGAATAAAGACACACGCGTCTACAAATGGCGAGTGTGCGTTTTATGGGGCGCGGTTTTGTACACGTAAGATCGGAAAAGTCTATGAATCGTCACTGAGATCACCGAGCAATTATGGTAGTTTATAACATTTTTTTTTTTTTGTATAGCATCGATTATGTATAGATATATAATATATAGTATATAGTTATATATAACATATAGTATAGTTGTAGTTTATAGCATTTTTTTCTACAGCATCAATTATGTATATACATAGTACATAGTTATATAATTATGTATATAGTATAGTATATACCATATACTACAATGTATAGTATATAGTACAGTATAGTATAGTATAGTGTAGTATAGTATAGTATAGTATAGTATAGTATAGTATAGTGTAGTATAGTATAGTATAGTATAGTATAGTATAGTATAGTATAGTATAGTATAGTATAGTATAGTATAGTATAGTATAGTNGTAGTATAGTGTAGTATAGTATAGTATAGTATGTAGTATAGTATATATAGTATAATGCAGTATAGTATAGTATATAGTATAGTATAGTATAGTATATATTATAGTATATATTATAGTATATAGTATAGTGTAGTATAGTATAGGATAGTATAGTATAGTATAGTATAGTATAGTATGTAGTATAGTATATATAGTATAGTGCAGTATAGTATATAGTATATATTATAGTATATAGTATAGTATAGTATATATTATAGTATATAGTATAGTATAGTATAGTATGTAGTATATATTATAGTATATAGTATAGTATAGTATATATTATAGTATATAGTATAGTATAGTATAGTATGTAGTATATATTATAGTATATAGTATAGTATAGTATAGTATGTAGTATATAGTATGTATATAGATAGTATATAATTTTTTGTAGCATCGATTCTGTATATACATAGTACGAACAAAGTTTGTCTATATTGTCTAGAATTTAGGTCACGCTTTTCAACTTGATTTCAAATAACGTTACTACTAAACTGAACACATTAATGCTGGATAATGTTACCGGAATGGATACTACACGAGGGGCTACAGGACGTTTCACAAATGGAGTTTACCAATGTCGCAGACAAGAGCTCCTGGCTCCAGTTCCTCGAGAAACTGATAGATACGTGGCCAGTGTCTACTCTGAACAGTTTTCTCGGCGCATTGCTCGTAAACCTCGTGGACATAGGCTTGCTCCAAGGCCACCGACCGAGCTACTTGCTCGCCGTCGCTTTCAGACATCCCTCTCGCTAAGATGGTTTACCCTCATCCACACACGTGTCCGCGATACTGCAAAGAAAGCCAACGTTCCTGTTATCAAACATAAATTTGAATGAAGTTTAAAATTTTTAAAACAAGTTTGAAAACAAGCCGAAGTAAAGTATATAAAGGAGGCAAGTAAAAAATAGAATCAATGTTGAAAAGAGATGTTTAAACCCACGTCATTCCAGCGCAAGAGGTTAAGTTGTTATTAAATCGGACAAAATTGAAACAAGTGCAACAGCAACGAAATTTCGATTCTTTTTGTTTCAACTGCCGTTTCTCTCGTCGCACTTATTTTGAAACGTTCTGTACAGCGGCCCCGCCAGAGACCCCGAGAATCGTCAGTAAATGGAACCGATCCCGACTCCTAATTACTTCAATTACACAATCTAAGACCGCCGGCGACTAATTTAATCTCGCTTAATCTTTTATGTTCCTTTTCCTTTTTTAATCTGATAAAACACCTACGCAAGGTCGCGCGAGAATTTTATCGAGTTCCACGTTCGATAGTTATATCGCGTTCTTCTGTATCACGCTAAACAGCTACATCGCCCCATTCTCAATTTGTATACCGCGGTATATATTTTCATTTTGCCCCGTTGTTGCTTCGCCAAAACAATCCGCGATATACCGATTGTCTTCAGCTTATCACCCACGATGAATGCGAACGAAGGATTCGTTTAACCACTTGCGCTGGCAACTGATTGCGGACCATAACGAGTGACCGAACCGTACAACAACAATTTGTCGCTTCCTTTTCGAACTCGTCGGTATGATATCACTGGACAGAAATTATTGAGAAGTAATAAATTTATTATACTTAAATATACCTAAAACTGAGAAAATATTGCAATTTTGGGGACAAAAAATTCTCGACGTGCGTGGCACGTCATTCCAGCGCAAGAGGTTAATTCTTGAAACTAAACTCTAGTTATAGTACGTAAAGATCAGACACTTTTCTGTCAGAAATAATAGAACGTAGAAACGCGTAGATAAGATGAGAAAATTATTAGAATTTTTGTAGCCCACCTTCGGATTTAGGCTACAAAATAATTCGAATATAAATATAAAATACTATAATATAATATATAAATATAAATATATTTATATATTATATTATAGTATATTTATAATAAAATATAATTATAAGAGGTTAACCACTTGCACTGGCAACTGATTGCGGACCATAACGAGTGACCGAACCGTGTACAACAATTCGTCGCTTTCTTTTCGAACTCGTCGGTATGATATCACTGAATAGAAATTATCGAGAAGTAATAAATTTATTATTTGTTTTGCCTATTTTTTTTTTACTTAAATATACTTAAAAATGAGAAAATATTACAATTTTGGGGACAAAAAATTATCGACGTGCGTGGAACGTCGTTTCAGCGCAAGAGGTTAACCACTTGCGCTGGCAACTGATTGCGGACCATAACGAGTGACCGAATCGTGTACAACAATTTGTCGCTTTCTTTTCGAACTCGTCGGTATGATATCACTGGATAAGAATTATCGAGAAGTAATAAATTTATTATTTGTTTTGCCTATTTTGTTTTACTTAAATATACTTAAAAATGAGAAAATATTATAATTTTGGAACAAAAAATTCTCGACGTGCGTGGCACGTCGTTCCAGCGCAAGAGGTGAAATTATTCGAGCATCTTGCGACGCGTTTAAATATTCTTCGAATATGTTTGTTTGCGAGAAAAAAAAAAAAAAGAAGAAAAAGATTGAATTTAATTCCTCGAATTAAGCGAATTGTTCGCAGTGGTATTGTTTCTGCCTCTCGCGAAGGTCGTTCAATCCCTTTATAAATTCATCGATTTGAATCTTCGAGTGTTTCATCTTTCGTTGTTTCAGCTATGTTGGACACGGAGTCAGGTTAATTTTATTTGGTCATCCACTGATATTCCATAATCGGCGGTTAACGATGGATTCCGGTTTCAGAGGTACCGGTTTCGTACTTTCTCGTCACTTTCATTTGCCAAGTGCCTCCTTACAACACATTTCCACTGCGACGATTGCAGGAAAATCGTTATCAACGAAAATAATGTTTATTGGAACATTATTCTTTTACATTCTGTACGCTTCTTTCTTGTAAACGTGTACTTGGTTAAATTTTCTCCTTGACGTGCGATCGTAAATAGTCATGAGATTGACGTTATTGTTTGGAGTTAACTATAGAGGAACTAAGAATAGGTTTGCCAAGAAATTGATTATTTAATCTATGGAATTTCCTTATGTATATTTATCATCGTCAGATTCTAGAACAACCATATATTATAGATTATTCGTGATGTATAAAAGATAACTCGTGAATGAATTTGTGTGAATAACTGTAGCATTAATGACCTAAAAATATAGTTACGTTTTAGAAGAAAATATAGTATGTTAAAATATATTAAATATAATAATATAATAAATGAAAATATATTAAATAAATTTTCATGTAATTTTTTATAAAATTGTATATATGTTTATAAAATTTATATCGTTTAAAGGAAAATACATTTGGATGAAATTCAGTGCTTCCATTTACGTATAATTAGATATAACATTGAAACAATGATAAACCACAGAGACAATTAAATGATCGGTTAAAACGTATAACACAAGATATAAAATATTCTCTTCTAAAAACGGAAGGTTAAAGATCAAAAGCTTCCCCCAAAAATCTAGAAGCCTCTTTTAAAAAGAGGGATACGGGTAAGAAGGGTTAAAAATATTTGTCTGGAAATACTACCGTCTCTACGAAAATAACAACGCCAAATACTTCCGTGTTTGTAGGTGTCTCACTGGAAGTTTACCCTTAAGAGAACCTAAGCTATTTTTGAACATCGGATCTCCGAGCTCTTTCATCAAATTCAGGCAAAATTACCCGTGAAAAAATCTGTCCTCGACTTTTATTCACCTCCACGGTCAAAAGCTGAGATAAGATACGTATACACTTAAAATAATGATCCCTGATTCTCTCGCTCCTATATATAATAATCCCATAATTAGGTGATAATTGATCGTTTATTAACATCCTAAATTTAATGAATTTCTTTGTTTTTTAACCTTTTTAGTGCTCGCTAAAATTACCAAAAATTCTAAAAATTTAATGAAAAGTATATAGTAAAGTAAGAATCTATTCATATTTGAGCATACGTTATATCTTTGATTTGAACATATACATGAGTCAATTCTTAATTTATTATTAAATTTTTTATTACTCTTATTTACTATTATTTTTTATTAAATTTTTAAAACTTATATATATATATATCTTTGAATCTCTATATCTTATATCTCTATCTATATCTCTATATCTTATCCTCTTCGAATATAAGTAAACTATTTAATTTAAGTGACTCAGATTATCTGTACGAATGTATAATCTGGTACAGATTATACATTCAAATATATTTATCGATATATATACATAATTATATAATTAATATATAGTTACATCATTAAAACAGTTCACAATCATGCACCCATTTAACAAGTATTAAAATTCCAATAAAACATAACAGAATACGATTCCATTAAGCTCGATAATATCTTTGGAATGAAAGGTTCGTCTCGTTGGGATAAAAGTGATTTCCATCTGGGTTTTCATTTCGTCGAAGTTTAAAACCATGAAATTGCGTAATCGTCGAAGCGTTTCGGCGGAACGTACCGGGCCAGAATCCACAGGTAGCGCGTTTGACCTAATTAATCGTCCCTGGCTGGCCTAGATCCTAATGAATCGCGTATTGACCAGAGCAACACCAGCCCCCGCGAGCGCGAGATTATCGGTGGACAGCTGTCGCGAGACCAGTTCGAAACAATGGCTTTCAATATTGAAAAAGAAAGGAGAAGCTACTCGACTAAACGTGGGCACTCGAAATTGATATTGCCGCGTGACCATGCAGAGTGACGTTTTCCATCGTATTGCGCTTGTACATTATTTTACATTCTTTTCTCCTATCATAATCTCGTCCGCGTGGATGGAATTTTGTACACTGCGAATTGTTAAGAACTTTCAGTCCTTTTGAATATTGCAACGAGTACTGTACTGCGATCGTATGGTACATTGCACGTATTTGTACATTTCGATTAAGTGTACAAAAATTGTACGTATTAGTGCACAAAATTATTTCTAAATTTCCATTAAATGTAGAAAAATTGTACGTATTAGTACACAAAATTATATGTACAAACTGTATTTTTATATTTCCATTTGCGGCTAGTAACTAGTTCACGGACCATAACGAGTGACCAAACCGTATACAATAATTCGTCTCCTTTTTTGAATTCATCGGTATATCACGTATAGAAATTATTGAGAAGTTATTTGTTTTATTTGTTTTATTTCAATAGACTTAAAACTGAGAAAATATTGCAATTTTTGGCCAAATAATTCTCGACGTGCACGGCACGTCATTCGAGCGCGAGAGGTGAAAAATCCGCGGCCTATTTTATATAAATACATTTCGATACGACAATATTGAAACGAAGGATGACAGACGATGCCATGGCTTTTTAGTAATCAACTCCAGTCAACCGGATTTATCAACTTGACAAGGCGTTGATTTGGAAAATCGATCGCGGGGCTATCTATAATTCGCTGTTGACAAACCGAGTTAGGAGGTATGAGAGCGAAACGAGATATATATCCCGAGGGTATATATATCTGTCTCTCTGTACGAATACAATCGGATTTTATCGTGTCCAAAGAGAAGTGCTCTATATACGTCAATCCGCCGATCAATCAACGAGAGCTTTTTGATACGAGTCGTGGGATATTAGTTGTCGACTGAAGCAAGAACGATTATAATAATGCCCGATATGGATTCTGTCGGAAGAAATATTTGATTCAGATATTTCGAAAGCGGGTATTTCAAGAACGTTCAGATCCACAAAATCGCTGCCGTGCTAAAATTTTTCCCGAGCTTAGCCAAATGTATTGTCAATTATTTTTCAATCGATTCAACGTTTAAAATAATAAATGATCTGAATAAAATAAAAGAGAAAAGGTAAAGCAACACTTCATGTTT